GTAAAAGTGCTATCAATCCAGATAGGTAATCATCTTTTTTTCTCAAACATTAGATAACTGAAGATGTGAAATATATCAAATTGTAGCCCATCAAAGACTTTACACAACTGTATATAGAAAATATTTTTTATGGAGTCCATCGACTAACAATGTGGATGAACACTGAGTAGCTATTTACCACAATTGTGGATCCTGTACTGCCATCAGTAAACTCGATCTAGCTCCCTACGAACTTCAAAAAATAGATTTCTTATATACCATTCGATGTGCTTTGAAAAGCTCTACGCGATGATGTATTTGATTTTGCAATTGAGACAGTCATCTTATTCGACAGGGCTCTTATTTATTGTTCTACGAACTTTTGGTCAGCCCTAAGTATTACTCTTTGAGCATGGTTTGAATGTTTAAGTATTCAGAGAAAATTGAGCCTTATCATCATGCACTTGCTCTTAGTATTGTTAAACAGAGTCCAAGAAGAAATGTAACTATCGTTCTTTGAAATCAAATAACGAATTATCAGCTTCACGTATTAGCTTTTTTATGACTTCAAGAGGAAAGAATTACCGTAGTTCTGAATAGATGTAAAATCTGTAGATGTTGAAAAGGTGGATTGCAAGCAATATGTCTCAATTACTCTCTTATATGGTATCTAAAAAGTTATGATTGCATCGATTAACAATTACAGCGTGTTCGTCGGCAAGACTTCTTTGCATTTCTAAGATTTCAAATATAATAGTGTTATTTTGACACTATTTTTCAAGGTACTATATCTACATAATTATTTAATATACATTATAATTGAAAACGTCTCAGTTTTTCTGAGTAAATGTCTTAGATAAAATGGAAAAAGAAGAATAAATGTCATTTACTACATTCTAAAAAAGAAAGACATCAAACTTAACTGATTTTAGCTAACATAAATTTCTTTTTTCTCTTTTTCTCAAAAAAACTCTCTAAAATAAAAATAGCAAAAAAAAACACTTTTTTTTGCTTATGAATTGTCATAGAATCAATAGTATTAAACAGAAGAGTAAACTTTGTTCAGTTAAGAAAACTATGGTGCTACCAAGTAAAAGAAGGTGAGTGTACTATACACACATACACACACACTGGCTTTTTCTATACCTTTCTATTAGCTGAAAACACTCAACATCTCTCATTATTATAATTTTAGGCGTAAGAGAAAACCAACGACAACGAATCGTTTACCAAGTTTATATAGTGAAATCTTACTCAAATCTGAATCTGACTATAAATCAGAACTAAAACGACGTTTTGATCGTATCGATTATGAAAATCAAAATGATGTTCGACGACGTTTGAACAACGATCATGTCTTCCAACATGATTTATTAATGAAAAGACAACAATGGCTTACGGCAGATAAATCTTATCGAGAGACATGCCGAAATATGTGGTACAGAAAAGATCTTAAAACTATAGAAGATCGATTTGATGCAACAAATTTATCATCAAAATTTGATCAACAATTAAATCTAAATAATTCATCATCAAAAATATCCTTTTTACCAAAGATTAACAATCATTTTGAACAATATCCTGATGAAAATTTGGCTGTTACTGAAGAAGATAATGAAAAAATGACTTTTGCAATGAATAACGAACTTATAAAACGTAATTTTCTTGAGAAACAACCAGTAATGTTAGAAATTCATTTTGCTCCTCATTCATCCAAAAGTCTACGAAACAGACAAAATATAGAAATGAGAAAACAAAGTGCACAACGAAAACAAACTGATATTCAACGTGGAGCATTAATGGATCCACGTTTTAGAAAACTTCTGAATACATTGGAAGGAGTCAAACTCCCTGCCATATGTACTGTAGAATCTTAATTTTTTACTTTTTATTTTATCAATAAATATATTTAAATAAATTATTTAATTAATATGAAAAGATAAGGTATAATCTGAATTTCTCTCGTATTTGAACGTCCTTCTGATTGTCGTCCTATACTTTCTTGTTTGATCTCACGAACTAATCGAAAGAACACTATTTAGAACATATCGAAAGATTGACGCTTGACTATTCTTATGGTATCCTATAGAATAGGATTTTAAAGAACGAAAAACTGAGGCTGACAAATGAAAATCTTAAGAATGATATTCTTTCCTGTGATAATATAAAGAATGAGATCAAGGGAGTCGGAACTGAAACTATTTTTTTTTATAAGTACATTTTTAAGAAACAAAGAAAATTGTTAAAGCTACAATAGAAGGTGTATTTTTCTTTCTGTTCTGTCTATGCGTGTTTTCTTTTTTACTGAATAGTCTATGTATTTTCAATTGATTTCTATCACATTATATCAAGGGATGTCGCGACATTCAAATTGTTGGATAAGAGTCATCCCTCCCGCTGATCGTGTCTCTCCTGATTATTTCAGTCATAATGCTGTTACATCTATGTAATGTATCACTACGATATTTTAGACGAAAGCTGTGTTTGTTTTTAGATAATTGTGGTAAGATTGTCGAAATTATTATAGTTTTTATTGTAAAACGATCTGAAAAGAACTGCGATAGACGGATGTAGTTTATCATGAAAAATGTTAGTTAGATTCGCCCATCGACTGAATACTCTGCTTACTAGCGCCATCCGTTCGAGAGCGTCTCAACACCAAATAAAGCTGTGTTTATTTTTGGATAGTATCTCTTTCTCTGTCTCTCTCTCTTTTCATTTCTCAATCCAAAAACGTTTTTCTCTCTTGTAGAAACTGAGTAAACAAATAATAGCAGACCATCTAAAGCGATTGAGCGAAAAGCAAGAAAAATGTATATACTTCTCTTCTTATATACAATGATTCAGCCTGAGTCACTCAGGCAAATTGATTCTGCGATTAACACTCTGTACATACTACGCATGGGGCAAATTTTTCATCTTTTCTTCATTTCCATAGGATTTAATGGAATTACTGTAGTAGATCACACAAAACAAGTGAACTTAAAGGCTACAAGAGAGTTGTATAAAGAAGTGTTTGTGGAGCTCCTATCTGTGCATTCTTATAGCGACTGGCAGATGAATTGAGAGTTGAAGGATGACATATTACTTCTTTTTGTCCCCTCATCCCACATAGTTGTACGGAAAAAATAAATATAACTTTCTATATTATTCTTTTAAAATGGGTCTAAATCCACGTTAGACTGTATCAAACAGATGCAAGAGGATACAAAAGTAAGTAAATTTGCTTTTAAAGAAGTTCGAAAAGCGGCAAAACTGGAAAACATTTTTTTCGCTTCCCGACGAGTTTATAAGGAGAAAACCTATTAGCTGTTACAAAGATTCGTTTTCAAATCAGCAGATTCAGGAGGAATGGTCATTCACGTACTAAAATAGTTTATCAAAAGTGATTGCATTCAATCAAGAAAGGAAAATGAAAAAGGCAAAAAAAGCCTGGAAAGCGAAAAAGATGGCAATTCTGATTTTGAATGCTCAGAATTACCTACGTCACTGTGGATCTTCCTCGTACGAAATGTTGAAAAATAATATTAGGAAAATGTAATATATTTGATCCCACGTTCTTCTATTCCGAATTTCACTATTGTTTTGCATTTAAGAGAGATGCAAAATGACAAAGAATGTACTGTTTGTTATTCTATGTCGTCTTCATTGAGCAAATACTTTAAATGTTACAAGTTCTATTATTATAATCGTCAATGTCAGTTAGCGACAAAAACGGTAACAGGCGTGGTAAATTGGCGTTCACACTGATTCAAGAGCAATTGAATGTAGGCCATGAACAAATTTGCTCAATCGATATTTTAGATTTTTTTTCTGTTATGATCCGAAAGTATTTGAAATGCTAAGACTACAATTCAAACCGCAGGTCTCTAGCTTGAGTTGTTGTTGAGATAATCAAATTTTCTCGCAAAGCCCTCAAATTTTGAAATTTGAAAAGTGGGAAAAAATAGTCATCCTGTTTTTGTTTCTCTCGCCATGTGCTTCTGACTGAAGCAGAATAAAGCCAAAATTTTAGCCAGCGAAAAATTGTTGCGTCCGTACTGAGTGATCTATCACTTGACTTAATTTTTAAAAGCCGATCGTAACAATTCTGCATTCCCTCTTTCTAGGTATGTGTAGTATTTATGTCATTGCTTAATCCGCGAGAAATATACATTTGAAAAACTCTTAATTACGTTCGAGACGTAGTTCCAATCGTCTCTCGCCAAACGGGAAAAGATAAAGACTTTTTTTTTCACAAGCTCTTCGACATGATGAAATTTCTGACATTGAATTTTATTTTGATATCTTAAATTGAAAGTTGGCTATACACACGATTTGAGACCTCCTACTGCGACACCTTATAAAGAATGAAGCTCTCGTTTACGTGATTTTGTAACAGACACTATGTAGTATCTACTACAAAATTTTTGAATCTAAATAATGATTTGTTCGTGTTTTTTGTCATTTTGTATAGTAACTGAATAAGCGATTTTACTTCAAAAGAAATTTGTCTGTTTTATTTTTAGATGTCTTTGTTTACATCACAAACAGATTTTGTTTTATTATCGGCCATTTTGCAGCATGGCACAAATAATTGGCAATTGATAAAGGACTCAATGAGTAATTATATCTTTGGATCGTCATTAGTAAGAGATCTGTAATTCTCAAAAAATTGAATATCACGCGTTTTCTTCTTTATTGTATAAAGGTATTTAAGAATCGTTATGAGAAATTAAGTAAAAAATATGAACAAATTTGGTATGTTATAAAAACTCGAATGTGTGCAGTTACGACTTTTTTTTTTATTATAGGAGCGAAAACTCAAATAAAGAGGAATCATTCAAGTCATTTTTATATTCAAATATCAAGACAAAATATTTTGCGGAATTATATGAACGTACTAAACAAGATTGTTTCCAAAAAATTCTATTTGAACTGGTACTCCATGTCAACGATAGACGTATGGTAGAAGAAGATATTATGGATTTTATCGAACAAGTTTATCGGTGGATGTAAGAGACAAAAAAATGTGCTGAGTTTTCCACTTGAGATAATTTTCATTTTTTTTGTTTTTCTAGTATTTTCTCTGATGATTTAGTACTCAAACAGCAACAAATGGTACAAAAAGAAAAACTGATTGCCAAATTTAAGAATTATTTGATTGAAATACGTTCATCCGATATGAATATAGATAAAGAATCGAATTTGAATAAAGAGATAACACCAGCAGTCGATGTTCATCGTCCAAATTCTTCTTGGTCAAAGATGCTGAATAGGTAAGTATAATATATTCTATTGGTGGGTGATAATTCATAACTTCATTTACTCGTTTGAGCTCAATAAGGCAGAAAGGTTGTGTCAAGTTTTAGTAGGATTATTTAAGATCAGTTTAACGAAATCTCTAAAATGAATATTATTGTTTAAAAAGTAAATTAGCAGAGTCTAGTTCACTCATCTAAAGTCTAACATTTTTAAACTTTTAATCGTTCGATCATTTATTTAGTACTATTGAAAAATCCAGACACCAGAACGAAAACTTTGTTTCAACAAATTTGAATAGTGCACCTGCAATGAAAATAAAAGAGACACATTATGTTTGTAAAAATGAACAAGATTATTCGATTATGAATTCATCATTACAAAGTGAAATATTATTTAATGATAAAACACGAAATTTATCAATTCAAACAGAAAAAGAAGATGATGAAGTTGATAGTATTCGTTCTTACATTACAACTACAATCGAAAAAAAAGAATACATTGACATGTATAATACTTCTTCTCTAATCACAACCAATAGTGAAGTAGAAAATATGATTATCAATTCTATTTCAACAGAAGAAGCAGAAGACGAAACAAATAGTCCTATAAATGATGTATTACATGTCAATGACACTTCATCATCAAAAACAAGTTCAAATATAGCTGAATTTGATAATTCATCATCGATCGAGGATAAATCTACTGAAGATGTAGAAAGAATTAGTAATTTAAGTGCCACAAGAACAGTAAAAGAAGAGGATCTATCTCAATATCAAAATGGTTTTCATTTAGTAGATGTTGTTTCTAATGTATCATTAACAGAACAGGAAAATAAAACAAGTGAACAGATTGATGCTGAAACTGTTGCTAACATCAATGAATCTAGTATCCCATCAATAGGAATGAGACAACAATCTAAGTAATTATTTTTCATTCGTTATATTTAACTGAGATGTTTTTAAGAAATTTCTAAAATTGCATTTCTCTAGAACAACGGTGAATGATGTTAATCGAAAATCGTTATTAGATATTATCAAAAAATTAGCTAATTCAACGTGAGTACTTTTCTCTAAAAGTTCACTTGAAATAATTTGCCTTTATTTTCCTATAAATTAGACATGGTCACGAATTTAATCGACCGGCAACCGATTTTAGCTTGGAAAACTACGGAACATTAATTAAAAAGTATAAATTATATGAGACATTACATAAATCTTTTATAAAGTATATTTTAGGCCAATGGATTTATTGACCTTGAAAAAAAATGTGAATAAAGGTGATTATGATGGAAGTTTCTTAAAATTTCAACGGGATTTAATGTTAATATTCATAAATGCTATTTATTATTACACAAATGATTCTGCGGTGTATACTCATGCCAAAGATTTATTTGAAATGTCTGATAATCTTTTGCCAGTAAGTGCAAATACTTTTGTACTTTTTAAAATGATATACGCCAAAAATAATTGTTTTTTTTTCATCAATTATTTCAGATAGGACCCGCATATTCTGATGTTACTTGGTTATCATCAAGAACTCCAAAACGAACACGAAATCAATGTGAAACGATACGAACAACATCAACTGAACATCGACGAGATGTTATCACTGCGGAGACAAACAAAACTACCAAACGAAAACGAAAGGCCACGCAACTTTAAAATTGTTGTTTTCTTTACTTAATAACAGTTCTTTTGGCGTTTTTTTCACGCTTTTCTATTTTTTCGTATATTAAACTTTTTTTGTTAAATGTATGTTTTTTGTGGGATGTGAGAAGAACAGCGGTTCTCTTTCTAACATACTCTATGCTTATTCTAAACTGTTTTCTAAACTGACTTTTAAATATCAAATTGTATGAATGAAATTATGAGTGATGGTGATGTAAATGTACTTCTTGATTGATGACATACCAGTAGTATTCATTGAATTAATTTTTGAGTCACTGATAATTGGTAAGAATCGCTACTGATCCATTGTTTATGGTTCTTCTATTCTTTAACTTATTCTCTTATTTCTCAGAAATCAAGAACCAAGATGAATGGTACTATTCACATAATGTTCATTCTAACCGATTTTTAACACAACACTTGAAGTATCGATCGTGTTGGCATGCTGTTATTTCGTAACATTAAGTGTAATTAATTATATCGAAATCTGTAGTGACTGCTGACCGTTGCTCTTAGAATAGTCATAATTATGGTCATTGTGTTATACATGAATTACATAATGTGTTAAATATATCCCCAATATTATAGTAGTTAAATTTTCTACTGTTTCATCATACTCGCATGTTGGTATGTATCGTAGCAAATGTGAAAAATCTAAACAAATATCAATTTCTCTTTTTCTTCGAATATTTATCTCTAAAAAGCAAAAAATTCAATGAGAAAATAGAGTCTTGTCTACAGATTATATCTTGATAATTTGAAATATCAGAAGTATTTTTCACATTTGAAAGTACTACAAAGTGATTCATTCTTTAAGAAACGATAATAAAACACATTTTTTATCTATTTTTCGTTCTTTTTCTAATTCATCAAAATTCTGCTCAACTTTGATTAAATACCGTGCATTGAAAAATAATATTTCTTTATAGGGCTACTGATTTTTCAGGTCATGTGGAAATTCAATCCCTCCTTCAGTTCATGATACACCAGAGGCGTACCTACTCGGTGGTTACCGCCCATTTGGTTCCAGAAAAGTCATTGTTTTGTGTCTTTTGTTCTTCAAAAAAACAATTTTTTTGGTAGGACCACCTTCCTACTCTGAGATGTTGGCTACGCCCTTATGATACATGAACTATAATGAGACTCTCTCTGTGCTATCTGAGTCTTAAATCGGATCTGATCTACCTATTATTCAAATAACTAAGCAAATAATTTCAAATCTCATTTAACAGTTAAATAATACATCAGGTGTTAGTACCGATAACACGTCCAATCTCATTTCATTTCATACTTGTTTTGTCTCCTTTTATTTTCTATCATTCTATAGCTCTGTTTCTTTCTATCAATTGTTTATTGTTTAATATTAATATAACCCCCCCCCCCCCCCCCGCCGCGGCGGGCGGCCGCGCGCCCCCCCCCCCGCAGTAGTTAGACGGGCAAAATTTCTTCTATAAACCAAATTTATGGCTGAAAATTCGAAAAACTCATATTTTNAATTTTTTTTTGTCCTTTTTTTTTTTATTATTTTAAATCTCTTTTTTTTTTTTTAAATTTTTTTTTTTTTTAAAATTAAAAAAACCCCCCCCCCCCCCCCATAATAGAAGCCCTTCCATATTAGAAGCCCCCCTTTGAGAGGTCTCTCCAGCAGAATTTTCTGTTTTCTCCAGCGGAACACGATCAAAGTTCTGAAGACCAAATACAAGCCCCCGGGGGCTTCTATTACGGGGAGGGGGGTTAATTAATTAGGGCAGTATAATTTAAATAAACAGGTCATTTTACAGTATTAACACACTTAAATAATAATTTTAAAAGGGTTACGTGTTTATAAGAAATTTTGGTATTAATATGTGGAGAACTCTTTTTGTTGTACTTCTGAATATTTCTTTTGTATACGGTTGGCTGTACATTGATCGAAAAAGATGCTGCTTATAATATTCTTAATGGGAAAAACAGTCAATGATACTTTACATACTTTTTTTTCTTCTACATGCGAATCTAAATTTTGTAAGGTAGTCAACATCCGTAAGGTGATACTACCAACCCCTCTTGTTTAAATAATAATAGCTCTAGACAAACAAACAAACAAAATAATAATTTTAAAAGAGTCAGTTTGTACTGATAAATGAAACAACGTAAGCGATCTGAGCGTGACATTGTTTCATAGCCTATAAATTAGACTATTATATGTTTTTATGGCATCATTCAATACTACTTTATGTACTTATTCAACGTATTTCTATGGAATACTAATGTTCTATACACAAACAAAACATGGTGGACAAATTTCTTAATTATAAAGAACTGAAGTTGCAATTAAATGTGACAAATGTGTTAATACTGTAAAATTGCCTGTTTATTTAAAGTATACTGCCTTAATTAATTATATTAATATTAAACAAAAATAGTTGTTAGAAAGAAACACAGCAATAGAATGGTAGGAAATAAATGAGACGAAACAGGTATGGAATGAAATGAGACAGGACGAAACGAGAATCCTTCGATAACATTTCTATTCGTGTCTATAAAATTTGTGCTGCTATATCAATCAATCTCCCAACAAATGTGTCATCTCTTTCAGTGATATATTGATAATGAAATGTTTTCACAAAGGTTTAAAAGCTCTTTAGCAACACCTGTTTGTAAAACTGGTCTGTCAGAATTAGCGGCCCTATTTCTCCTTTCATATGTTGTGCGTAAAATATTCGAAAAAGGTATGATAATTAAGCACTTTTAGACCACCTTTTAAGTGATCGTCTATTGTCTATAAACCAATTCGGTTTCAGACTGTAATCTTCAAGAACTGCTTTCGCATCTTCTGGATGAGTCGAGTTTCTCAGGATGGTGTGCAAGTATCCCCCGGATTTTTAGTACACAAGATATCTTTTCACTCTCTTAACAATATATATTAACTTTCCTATACTTGCCATAAGACTCACGCTGACTTGATTACACTCAGCTCTGTGATTAAAATAAATGACATCAGATGATCTCTAATATATCACACTCTGCACAAAAACTGATTTGCTTAACTATCACATGCTTTCAGCAATTCACTCACTAAGCACTGGAAACGTCGCGTCACCTAACATGCATAGAGGATTCGCATTCTTTTGACTAATATCATGTCCAACGTGCTTTTGTCTTTTTCTTCATTTTGAAAGATTTTGATTGCATATATACCACACAGGTGAAACATGAGTCTGATTAGCTAGTAACCTTGAAACAATAATGCTAACTAGTAACATTACTCAGCATACAGCATAGACTTTCATCGACGAATGAGCGCTTTCGACAATTAAAAAACAAAGTTCATCAGAGATCTACCATTGTAACAGCTGGTTTTCAGCGAAAATAATGTACCGGTGAGTTATCACAAACTAGATGTTCTTTTTCTTATTCTGTCAACGCCATATAGACATGCATAATATCAGAACACGATACGCACATATTTGAGATTTTTCACTATATTTTTTGTCTTTTTTCTCTTCTTTTTCCCATGATCAAGAAGTGCCACA